GAAAGCCTACCTCCCGCTAAAATCTCAAGCTCGCCTCCTCAAGCTCTCAAAAACCCAACGCAGACCTCGGTAAGCCCTACTCTCTCTTTCTCTCTCTCTCTCTCTCTAGCCCCTCTCTCTCTCCCCTTCCCCCAAAAGACCTGGAAATTGCCTCGCCCCTAATTTCCCCTTGTTAGGGTTTTTAAGATCCCTTGATTATTCGCAATGTTCTCTAAGAGCTTCGAATTTGAGCCCCCCTTTTGCAAGATATTCAGAATGGAATCGAGTGCCTATGATTTTGCCAATATTGCAGAGATTCGATCTTGATTCACAAACACCAGAGCCAAAACCTTGATTGTTTCTTCCCAAATCTCCAAGCTCTTGGCTGCCATTAAAATACTAGCAAGAATATGTATACAACCCGCTTTAACAAGGAGCTCTCGATTTCTCTCTCTCTCTCTCTCTCTCTCTAGCGAATCAACCAAGCTTAGTCAAGATCTCAGAAGAAACCATGACTCCAACGATGCCTTGGATCTGGTGAGGTTCGACAGGGCCTGGACTAGAAGGAAAATGACCTGCATTGTTAGGGTTAGGGTTCTGATTTGATTCCTTCCAAATTTTGATAAGGCGTTGAAGAGTAGCCAAAGGCACAGGGTGTAGCCAAAGGCACAGGGTATAGCCACTGCCACAATTTTTCAAATTTTCATGCATTAATATGTCACAGCCTTCTGCTATTCTTCGTAAGGGTTCTTTGTACTGAACCCTTGTGTAGAAAATAAATATTTGAGATGATTTACCACACAACTATAATCCACGGTTTTGGATGCAACACATCAATGTTCGATGGTCAAATGATGCAACATGGGACATGCACTATGTGGTTCAGATGACAGACAGTGGAGATTTACTGGCCTAAGTGAATATCCGGATGAGTTTTTGGTTTGAAAGATTTGGTTAGTTGCAGGACAAGTATTGTTGCCATTGTCGAGCCATTTTTTGGATGCTCGATCGAGTGTAGGTGACGCCAGTGCATACGCTCACAGGTGATTCCATTATGTCCAATGAAATTGGCGTTTGAAGAAGGTTGGGACTATGATGCACATGTTATTCTTCTTCGCCATTGTTCCAAAGAGAGAAGATTATGAAGATGGGTGCTGGATAGAGATAATGGGTTATGATCAGAGAGGGGATTCTGATGATCGGTTCCTATAGATTTTAGAGAGAGAAATTGGTTGGAAGAGAGAAAATTTAATGATGAGTGCCTGTAAATTTGAGAGTTTATGGCCAGAGAGAGAAGGAATAAATTTTTAAGATATCAAAAAACACACCTTACTATTGATAAAATTAATATAGTATTTTCTAGCCAAAATAGTGGTAATTCATTTCCCAAGTTTCTTCTCGACATAGCCAAATGGTAGCAATATATTTCCCAAGTTGCATCTAGATACTACCCAAACAATTACAATCTATTTGCATCTAATGTATTACACCGGTAATATATTTCCTAGACAATATATTTCTAGGTACCTAAATGGCCTCTAACTTGTGTGACTATTTACTCAGTTTATACTATTATAGCATTCTTGAACTTAAGGCCCATTTGGACAGCTTAACGAGTGAAGGGAGTTGTTCGTCAATGGTAATACTTTTCAGTAGTAAAAGACAAGGTAAAAAAGAATTTCTGGATGTGCTTTATAGCTTTCTTAGTGGTATCGTGCTCTTAGGTTCCATTATGTGAATACTTTTTTATATTCTCATGCTTGTGACGCTTTTGCTAGAATCATGATCCGAGCCTTTTCCCAACCAATTGGGTCAACTACACAAATCTTGTTATGCTATTCCGCTCTATCAATGACCATACCCTCAGTTATCAAAGACCATACCCTCAGTTAGACCTTATGTCATCATATCACTTCTCACTACTTTCATCCATGCCCTTTTGAGCCTTCCTCTAACCCTTTTAAAACCTTCTACTTGAACCAAATCGCCCATCCTAACCAGTGTTCTAGGTTGACACTGCACATGGGAAGACCACTTAAGCCTACTTTCCCTCATCTTATTGCCTATTGGAGCCACTCCTGAATTCCTTCAGAAATATACATTCTAATTCTATCGTTTCTTATCTTGCCACTCGTCCATCTCACCATCCTCATTTAAGCTAGATTTATTCTATGAATAACTTATTTCTTGATCGCCCAACATTCCTTCCCGTAAAGAATGACTGATCTAATAGCCGTTCTATAGAACTTCTTCTTCAATTTCATTGGTATCCACGATCGCATAGGGACACTCCAGAGGCACATCTCCACTTCATCCACCCGGCTCTAATTCTATGTGCGACATCCTCCTCAATTCTCATGGATTTTTGACCCAAGATACAGAAAATAATGTTATATATTATGGGATGATGATATGTTCATGGATATCGTTTTGCTGTGACGATATTAATATTGCTTTTGTATCTGGTCTGGATAGACTGATCTGAAGTATTGCTTATTTTCTGATAGTATTCTCTCATTCTCTGGCTTTGAATTGGATGATGATCATGTTCATTTATTTATTTGTGATTTCCCTACGATCATTTATTCGTGTTTTCCCTGTGGTTTTCAGCTTCCACGGATTCAAATAACTGACCCCATTGCCAGATACTATGGTCTGAATCGTGGTCAAGTTGTGAAGATCATTCGACCTAGTGAGACTGCTGGAAGATACGTCACCTATCGTTATGTTGTGTAACTCTCTTGAGCACAGAAGATTTTCATCTATAGCTATATAAGATTGTTGAGGGCTGTTTATACAGAAGATGTTTAGGGTTCTGGACCCTAGAAAGATGGGGTTGTGGACCATGGAAGGCTTGACCACTGGTGCTTGAAGTGCAATTGTATTGGTGATAGAACCAGGCTGGCAGCTTGTGGGTCAAGGAAAAGTTTTGATTTTGTTCTTTTAGGCACTCAATTTTATTTGCTCTGAGAACTTCAGTTGCGCAGAGGATGATTTCGAAAAAAAGAAAAGAAAAGAAAAGAAAAGACCTCAGTTGGGCAGAGTTGTAGGCTGGAAGTTTTGATTATTGGGACATCCTTTTGATGAGTGGTTGATTTAACTAACCTAAGAAGAAAGACCAGAAAGGAAAAAGAAGTAAAAGAGTAGAGAAAACAAGCTAGTTTGAAACCAACGAAGAAGGGATATAATTCCTATTTTGTCTCCATACTTTTCCTTCATTAATTAGTCTTGCCAATGAGGTATCCCTCTCATTAGCTCAAATTCATTTTTCTATATTTTCTTATTAATCATTTGATGTATGGCAAACCCATGGGACTTTTTCTCTGATTTGGTTTTATTTTCCAAGGGGACGTATCTCCTTCTTTTGTTACCGCTGGATTAATTTTTTTGTATTTTTCACGTACGTTTCATGACTTTGGCTCTACGGACCATAAAACTGATGGGATTTTCCATTTGATTTTATTCGTCATTGGGACATTTAAAATACTAGGGAATTTATTGATTAAGCGATCAAATCAAGTTACTGAATAAGTTGGTCAATAGCATGGTTGTTTTTGAAGTTGGTTATTTAAAGATATGTGCCACACGTGTTTTCTTTAGCTTTTTAGATAAAAAATACAAGGGGACTTGGTTAGGATGTGTTTTCTATTGTTTGTAAACGTTATTCTGAGGACATCGACATCGAGTAGTGGGTTCTTAAAGAGTCTTTTGATGGTGCCATCATTAAAAGTATCTGTCAAAACTAAAATCCTCCTCTTCTAGGTGGAGGAGCTTTATACCACATTGCACACATTATTCTGCAAGACAGGGTCTTGAGAGTAGACAACTTTAAAGAAGACAGATTCTGCCATACATAGTCTTTTATGTAAAGACGGATGAAGAAAATGGTTCGCAGTTTTTCGTCCATTGTCGAAGCCGCCTCTATTGGGATGTCTAAAACTGAATTTGATGGGAGTTCCCTAGGGAATGAAGGACGAACAGGCCATGGAGGACTTGTTAGAGATTTCAATGGGGCTATTATTTTTTCATATGCTGGTCCTTGAACCTTATGTAACAAAGAGAGATTAAAGGTGTATGTATTGTTGAAGGGGACTCCTTTAAATGTCATTAACTGGTGCAACAAGGAATCCAAGCTCCCTTGAATGTTAAAAGCTTTTTATGGATGGAAGTTAAGAATATATGCAATTCTTTAACAGTTTCCTTCAATGATATTTACGGCGAGGCAAATGATTTGGCAGATGGTTTGGGGTGGAGCAACTGGATATCATTGTTAGTGATAATGTACTAGTCTAAGACTCTTGTAATTCTCCATTATTTAATAGAAGTTCAGTAATATTGTAAATAAAAAAAAAATAATGACGGGTGGATCTCTGGTATAAAAATGGATGGAATGGGACTTGGATGCGTACTTCTTCAAATATAAAAACTTGATTCTGCTATAAGAGCACCGATACAAAGAAATAAGGAAATGGAATACCAAATAAGATTGGATGGGTGCAAATAATAGAAAAACAGGGATGATTTCTTAGCAACCCCTCTCACCTTTCTCAAAGGCCGAGGTGGGTGAATTTTTAGTTCATTCTTCTTCAACCAGCATAGCATATAAAAAGATCGATAGACCGAGTAAATAGATGCTTCAACAAATGCCTAAAAAATACAAAGAAGAGAGGGTAATTGAGGGTGCACCAAACACGACAAACTTGGATCAGAAGGCTGAGTCCAAGTATATTCACCTACTACTACTCGACTAGCTTTAAAGTCACGCTAGAAAAGAGTATGTTATATTTTCTTACCCCCTTACTGAAAATTCATTCTTAGTTTCTACAGCCTCTACATTAACTGGGTGCCAAGAGAAATCTGGCGAGATTGACATTCCCTACCCCTGTGGCATTGGTGAAGGCTGATTCTTTCCAGGGTTTGCCATAAGTTGCAGTGAGACCAAAAAATTTGCTCCCACTTTAGTAGAGCTTGAGCGAGACACTATATATAGTTGAACACCATCTGCTGTTATTTGGAGCAGAGGGCTGACATCCCTTTCTATTACCATCACCATGCACCATTGGACCATACTGTACCTTTCTGTACAAGCCATAAACAATAAACCAACAGCTTCCGTGTTTTGCACATAATAGCACGTTTAGAAAGATATTATTAGCATGTTAGGCCCACACAAGTATCCAAACTACCAAGATCCAAGCCAACTACAAACAAAGAATACGGCTATTTAGTTGTTGAATCATTAGAGACAGTCGGAAACTTTTTTTGAAGTGGAGCAGTTTGGCTCAAAGGAAAGATTAAGGAGGTTAATAGTGAAGAAGAAATAGTTTTTTGCCATGACCATGTCATTGTTGTAATCTTAGGAGTTGTTTTGAGTACTGGGCTTATTCTAGCAAGTGGTTCTTGTTTATACTGGGTACTAAACAAGGGGAGACTCATGAAGTTAAAAGAGGAATACTTGGGGAGACTTATGAAGTTAAAAGAGGAATACTTTCGCAAAAATGGTGGGTCTTCTTCTGCAACAAAATGTTTTTTCTCGTGAAGGCACAGAGCATGCAAGGATATTCACATCTGAGTAGTTGAAGAAGGCAGCAAACGGCTATGATGAATCTAGAGTAATGGGTACAGGAGGCTATGGCAATGTATACAAGGGAACTCTACTAGAAGGTACTATTGTTGGCATCAAGAAAGCTAAAGAGGTGGATAAGTATCAAATTGATCAATTCATAAATGAGGTTGCAATACTCACCCAAATCAATCACAAGAATGTAGTGAAGCTCTTAGGTTGTTGCTTAGAAAGTGAAGTCCCAATTTTGGTTTATGGATACATATCTAATGGCACACTGCACCAACATATCCATGGGAATGACTCTATAATTTCACTGAAACTGCTGAATCGCTTGCGTAATCTTCGATACCCATCTTCCATAGAGACATCAAATCAGCAAACATACTATTAGATGATAATCACACAGCTAAAGAAGCTGATTTCGGAGGTTCAAGATTGGTTGCAAATGAGGAATCTGATGCAAGGCACATTAGGCTATCTTGACCCTAATACATTCAAACTAGCCAATTAACGGAAAATAGTGATGTTTTTAGTTTCAGGGTTGTTCTTGTGACAGGACAAAGAGAGAGAGAGAGAGTCTATGGAATCACACTGTTGGGAATGTTTATATAAATATCCATACGCATCTAAGAGGTCCTCGGGCTGGTTGTACAAGGAATTGAAATAATGTCCAACAAAAGTTAGATTGAAAAAGTCAAATGCTTGTTACGGCTTACAATTAACCACTTGGTTGAGTATACTTGTGATAAACGATTACACAAGGAGCTAACAATAAATTTGGAATTGCAGGGCAACTTTAATATGTTGATATTCAACACCTTGGAGTAAGAGTGAAAGGACCCTAACTTTACAATTTCCTAGTTTATTACATATATTGCACTAATCCAAGATATGTCGAAGGGTAAAGGGCATGTCGTAAGGCTTGAACACCTGTAATTGAAGGATCTCTAATTGAATAATGTGAATGCTTTAGGCTAAATATTTCGGCTTTCTTTACTAGAAAGTTTTTGGCAAGGACTTCAAATGTTTATGGGAAATTTATCAAATGTACCTAAGCGATGAGCTACTTACAATTTTACCTATTTTTTGAGTTAATTCTAAAAAGGTGTGGTTTCTATAAGGTTGCAACCTTAAACAATCCAATTAAGGCACACCTCCAAATTTTATCATAACATGTAATTTTGGTATAATTTGTTTTTAGGATTATCTGAAAATCTATTTTCATATCTAATTATAAAATTTTATACTCCAAAAATGGTTAAAATGAAGTAGATCTATAAATATGAAAATCTTGTGTTGCAAGATGCACTATTTTTGGGACTCGAAGTCTTTTTTATTATTATTATATTCATATATCGATGTCGAGATGATTAATTAGAGGGTTTTTCAATATTAAAACAACTTTTTCCGATAGATTTTTGAGGTGTGTCTTTAATTCTACATTTAACGTTACAACGTTATATAAACTTTTTCCATTAACCATTAGTTGCAAACTGCTATCCATTCTAGAACCTATCCCAAATGGAACATTAACTCACGAAGAGCATTGAACGTACTTTGAAACTCAGAATTATAATTGTAAATTTTGGATCGATTGTCATGATTCCATTTTGTTAGCCCACCAATATTATTTTAGGCTCAAAAGCTTAGGGTACCCTTAATGAAGAATCAGAGTTAGATAGTCAAAGAAGATAGGTGATACAGAAGATATTGGCATAATGATTGTTCATATGTACCTTGCTTACGCAGAGCAACTTACTTTGTAAATTTTTTTAAAAATACATGCGTAACAGTCAGGCTTAGCCTTAACATAATTTCGTAATATAAGCATGATCCCTACAAATTCTTATCTCTTAAGGCTGCCTCCCTGCGAGATATTCTCCTCGGTTTTGTTCTAGACGAGAAACCTTATTCTTGGAATGGAATTTGTTCTCATATAATGGGGTTTCACTTTGTCTAATAAATGGATGTTTAACTTGAAAATAATAGTGGATTGTGTGCTCTATTTTAAACAAACCCAAGGTTACTTCACATGGGCTACCGGTTTGTTTTAAAAAGAGTATTGAAAGGAATGTCCAAGGACCAAAACTATGGAATAAATACTTTGGAATTTCTCCCAAAATTATAACAACATTTCAACGTAATGAATCTTCAGTCAGTGTCCCCTTTTCTTCTTTGAGGGGACTCATATTTGGATATAATCTCCATTATTTGGCCCCATGAATATGAAGAGAGGGAAAAATTGAGATGCCATGCTATAATTTGATCTATGTAATCTGTTGGATGAGTAATAAAGTTCCGAATATTGTAAAAAAATAAAATAAAATTGAGATGCCATGGACTGTCTTTCTTTGTTGCATGTGATGCCATGTGACATGCGATGTTGAAGAAGAGAATGTCTTCTTTCCCTACTATAGGCAAGCTTTTGGCTAGTGATATTTGTTAGCATTTAAGAAATATTTTATCTGAAAAAGGGTTTTTTCTCTTTTTTTTAAAAGTATATGATTAAGACCATTTATTTCCGGCACAAAGTTCCATTTACCCTTAGCCATTAGAGATGAAATTAGACCGTTAAGGGTTTACCTAGGCCACGCGCAAAGTCCAACATGTTTTTTTTGTATGTATTTGTGATGCACTTCTAAGCAATTGATTTCTCATATAGTGACTATGGTGATTGTGTCCTAGTATAAAAGTAAACAATATCCTACATTATACAATTCTTTTTCTTTGTTTGAGGATTGCTACCTCTCACCCCCTACGCATCAAGCAAAAGGTTTGCATAATAAGGCAAGGGCCCTAAACCTAAAGGTAAGTTCGTTTGATTAGGGGCCCCAAACCTAAAGGTAAGTTCGTTTGATTAGGTTACTTTGGTCCATTTTTTTGACCAGTTTTTAGGTATTTTGAACACCTGACTTCCACCTCTAGACTAAAGCCCAAGCACCATATCCTTCTTTAATACTTTTTCCCTTGGGTTTTTAGGTGCCCTACTTTTTCTTTTCTTTTTAATTAGGGGTGACAACGGGTCGGGTTGGAATGATATGGGACCAGACCTAGAATCAGAAATATACTATGAGACCTGGACCCAATCGGATTTGACCAAAAAATTAAGATTATTTAATGATTATGTCATATATTGGGACCCCAAAAATATTACCGGACCCGGACCCGTAGCCGATCTGCCAAGTCCAATTTTTAAACCCATACCCAGACCTTGGTCGACCACCTCTAAGGTCCGGGGTTGATTGCCACCCCTACTTGTAACGATAATAATTGAAGGCATAAATTCGGGGGGTCGGTTAGAAGAGCTCCTTGTTATTTGGCCCTACTCTGAACCCTTTACCTGTAAAGCATAGATTCTAATGGGCTTATATAATACGCCTTCCCTAAACGCAGTCTCATGTATAAATGAAGCAATGGAGATGCTCCCTCTTTCACAATTTCCAAGGTCCCCCATATCCATATCTCCTAGGCCCCATATAACCCAATTTGAAGCCCCAAACTCCCCTGTATCTTTCTCTTTCTCTGAACCAACCAAACATGAAGATGAAGGTAGACAAGGAGATCATCCACTATTCCCACTCACAACACAGGCTCAAATTTGAGTGCAGTGACGCCCTTTTCAACTGTGATGGGTGCAAAGAAGCCGGGATCGGTGCTCGCTACAAATGCGACATCTGTGACTTTGATCTCCACAAGAACTGTGCTACTCCGTCGCCGACCCTTAACCATCCTTTCTACAGGAAATGCAACTTTCAATTCTACAGCAGGCCACCGGGTGATAAGATGAGGTATTGTGATGCTTGTGGCCAAGATGTTTTAGGCTTTGTATACCACTGCAATTCTTGTGGCTTTGATCTCCACCCTTGTTGTGCTTGCTTGCCTCCAGTTCTAAATGATGGAGAGAGAAACCTTTACTTGAGTCTTAAAGTCTCGGCCGCTTGCCATCGATGCGGACGTAAAGGAATAGGCTGGTCCTACAGGTCAGAGTGCAAGAAATACAATCTCCATGTCTCTTGTGTTAAGGATATGTTAATGGAGAGTTGGCAGGAGATCTACGACTCTGGTGCCAAGAAGATCAATGAGCTTCAAACTAGGATCCCTAAGCTTAAAGGGCAAGTGAGGAGCTACCATGGCAATGCCAAGGGAGGGAAGGTGATGAAGTGTTGTGAGATGGCCGGCATGGCCATTAAGGTCATCGTTTCCGCCATTCTCGGCGATCCGACGGCCATTATCGGAGCTGTGGTTGGGGCCCTCATATCCAAGAAGTGACATGTGAATTAAATTGGGCTTCCATGGGTGTGTTGCTCTCTCTCTCTCTCTCTCATAGTGTTTGTGTTGTGTTTTGTATACATCTATGTCCTTCATGTAGGTAGCCATGCGTGAATTGTTGTAATCTTTATGTAAGTCTTATATATATAGTCGATGTTTCTCTCATGGAGAGAGAGAGAGAGAGAGAGAGAGAGAGAGAGATG